CTCACTTCGATCTTCAATGGTTTCATCTTTTTTTTTCTTTTTCTTTTTCTTTTTCTTTTTTTTTTTTTTTTGGAAATTGTCAAATTTTATGACCCCAGGTGGCCCTCTAATGATAGATAGTTGGTTGGCCAATAACAAAATTATATAAGACACAGAAGGTTGGATAAACAAGTAAATTGTATTGGAAAAGATTTATTCCTACTAGAATTGAAGGTGGATTTTGCATATTTCCCTTTTCAAGGCACGTATTTAATATACTGTACATTCATATTCGATCATGCATCTCAAAAAGAACACGTATTATGTATCTGTAATTTAGGAATGAAATATGTCGATAATATTAACTATTTTAGTCTAATTTAGTGTATAAAACACGTCAAAATAACTCTGAATTTAAAGTATATCGAATACCAAAAAGCTTGATTTAACATTCAAGAATTCTTAACTTTGAAATCTTGAAATCTTTTCACAGTTTCCACTCTGTCCTGTATGAAATTGATCACTTTTAGCCAGCATAAATAATGTTCCCTGATTTTCAAATTACACCATTGTTTGAGACACTTATGCATCCCCAGCTGAAATCCTCTGCCTCAATGGGCAATAACAAGAATTCCATTATAGAATTTCCCACCTCACCCCAGCCTGTAATTGTAGAAGAAATAACTCATTACACACACGCAAAACACCCCTTGATAAAAGTCAATCTGCCTGAAGTATTTACATGCACTGGCTGCAAGGAGTATGGATCTGGGAAGAGATTTGCATGCCAGCAATGTGATTTTCAGCTCCACGAGTTTTGCGCTTCGTCGCCTCCAATATTACAGAACCATCCCCTCCACGGCCAACACCAACTCGTGTTCCATGCTAAACCAAAACAAGGTACGATAAAAGGCCAGCCTCAATACTGCTATTTGTTATTCTTTTCTTTGCAAGTACTATGATCATCTTGACAATAACATGGAGTTTAACCGTCAGGAAAAGCTGGAATTTCATGGCCGAAGTGTGATGTTTGTAACAAAACAACCAAAGGGTTTATTTTCAGATGTAGAGCTTGTAGTTTCCAGATGCACCCTTGCTGCGCCATGCTTTCAACTGAAAGGAACTTTCCAGTGCATCCACACACATTGAAACTGTTACCACCAACGAATACATCCTCATCAGGTACTGATACCGGGATTCTATGCGGTGAGTGCAAGAAGATGAGATCAGGTCGATTGTACCGTTGCAAGGTTTGTGATTACCATCTCCATGCAGTTTGTGCTAAGAATTTCATTAATGGGCTCCAGGGTATCCCTCCCCCAGAAAAGCCGAGCAAGTTCGGAAAAACCGCCCAGGTTGCTACTCAGGTGGTTATTGAATTCGTAGGAGACCTTTTTGAGGGGTTTGGGGAAACTATAGCAGACTACCTTTTACAGAACATTGGAAGAGGGAGGCGCATCAGAAGATCAAGAACAGTTAATAATTGATCAAAGCTGCGCAGATCTATCTACTACTACATACTACGCATATTTAAGATATTGCTATATTTAAAATATTGTTCGATACTACATACTATGTATATTTAAGATATTGTTCGATATGCAGTAGTAAACAAGAAATTTTAATTTGTTTCCTTAATCATGTCCCATCCAACGTGTCAAATATGCAAGTGTGTAACTTCATAATGCAAATACTATGATTATTGTGTTCCTGATGTGTTGTTTTAAGACTTTAAGCCAGATCAAATGTTACAGATCCGATTCTCATGCTTCGAAACAATAAAATATACAAGAATTACTCGGTATGCATGGATTTACTTACAATTTAAACATACCACTACATGAAAGAAAAACTTGCTTAAAATGGACAACCTGATATCTTTTATTGCAGATGTGATTTGAAAAATACGTCCATTCAACTATAAAATATTGCAATTTCTAGTTACCTACTAATTCTTTACAGTAATAAAATAAAAACATATTTAGTACAACATCCATTGTAATTTGCCAAGTCGAGTACTTCAAGCAAAAAGAAAAACTTCAAACGACTTCCCCTTAAACACTGCAACTGAAACATGTCAATATAAACGTGAATTTCCATCATTTCGAGTCCTCAAGTCCATCTCGTACTATAAGTTATGCTTAGTTAGGTTGAGTATGCCAGATCCCGATAGATCCCAAGCTATTTGTCAAAGGTCTAAGCTCTTTAACAATTCTGAATTGTGATGTTTATACATAACTTCTTCAGTGATTACTCTTCATTTTCAAAGGAAATAACTGTGTGAACTGGTACGCTCGCTGCCAATATTTCTTCTCCTATCTTCTCTCGTTTGATGTCCTTCCAATGTGGTTACTTTTTCTGTTCCCATCATTGTTAACAAGATTTTTTGCATAAGAAAAACTACAACGGACCATAACCTAAGTTCTCCCACTTGAATGGGGCAACTGAACCAATATCCGGTGCACCTCTGAAGAACAGACAGACACAAACGCATACAGCAGCAATGGCGAGCATTGAATGAATGTATGGACGCTGAAGTAATCCTTGTGAACCTGGAAACTTTTCTCTGCATCTACCTGCTGCAGCTGCACACTTGGAACAAGATTTACGTCCTTGGTTGATATGGAAGGTAGTCTTGTGACCATGATCAACTTCCATGCCGACTTGCTCAATGTTGTTTCCAATTGATACAGAAACTTGGAAATTCTTTTTATCTGCAAGCTTCTGAGCGACAAGCTTGTTATAGGAGTGGTTGTTCCTCATCAAGGCATATGCATAGGGAGACAGCCCATTTGCATCAAGAACAGAATTCCAGCAATGCAACCCAATCTACAGATAGAATATCGAAATGGAAGGATCAAAACTCTCTCTTTACAGAACATAGGCCAGAAAAATTAAAAAACTGCAATAGTACATTAGAAAGCATTTCCAGCTAGTTTCAAACCGTCAACAAAATGGAATTGTGCAAGTAAAATATTTATAACATTCATATATTTGAAAGCCTGGGATTTTCAAACCTCAAATTGAAAGTCAAATAGGAGTTTTTAAGAGGAAAAATAGAAGTACCTCCTGTGGATCACTCGTCAAAGCATCAACCATATCATCTGAACCCAACGTAGAAGCAGCCAAATGTAAAGGTGTGATACCACCAGGTCCAGCCATATTGGGTACAAAGATATACTTCATGGACGAATCAGTAGAGTCGCTAATGGAGTAGTGAATAAGCAAATCAACCATTCTCCTACACCTCCTATTAACAGCCCTGTTCAAGAGGTGGCTTTCTGATAGCATTTCCAGAGACTCCCTTGCTAACCATTCATGACCCAAGTTTATTTCTAGCAGAATATCCAGGAGTGTTTTGATCAAAGCACAAAAGTCATGCTCGACGGAAAATGTAAGAAGAAATTTGAACCGACTAAGTCTATAGTCCGGGCTCTCAAACAAGGAAGAGTTGTTCTTTCTCTGAAAAAGCCAGCCAAGTTCACCCAAGAAATGGAGGACTTCTTCCCTCGTCCTGGGCCTAACTGGATTCTGAATGTGATCAGATGAAGTACCATCATGCAATAGAGCACCTTCATTGATTACAGACTCAAGAAGTCTCAATTCTTGACAGACGGTATTATCTGCTATGATTACGGGAAAGCTGGTACCTCTTAAGCCATTTTCAACCTGTTCCCAGAAATGCATGTCAATAATCTGAAATTTAATGCTAGATTACGAAAGAGATTGTTCGCTAAGAAAATGCTACCTCAATGAAACAGCGGCCGAGTACACTAGATGGACCATGAATTTTAAAGCTGCCCAAGCTTATCTCATCATATACAGTTTCTTGACATGCCGATGCTGGAAATTCTTTTATACTGTACCCATTTGTATGCGTGCAGTGTATCCTGCATGATAATCAAAGAACAATTTTTAAGAAAGCAAATCCCAAAATATGAAGGGGGGTCAAGTGAATAGAATATCAGACACGTACTTGGTGCCTGGAATGGTCAAATTTCTCCCCCTCAATATAAGAGAGGTTTCTTGCCCACCAACAACCGCCACAGGTGAGACCAAGACCAATTCTGGGGTATTCCAGGCTCTCCAGGACTTGCAAAGATGAATCTTTCCTGAAGATTGTTTGGATGCAAGGAAGAGAAGTCAAGAGAAATCTCATTCAGATTTTGATGTCTGAGGGTGTGTGAGCATGTAAGCGTAAGCACGTATAGACACACACATAAAAGAAACTAGTAAAAGAGAGAATATTCAAGAGATGAAATCACAAATAACCACTTTTAAGTAACATAACATACCATCCTTATAGGAAGCCATTTGTTTGTCTGTGTGAACCAAAAATCTTCCATTTCTCCAGAAGTCAGTATTAATATCATTGACCAAAGACTTGACATAATCAAGGAGGTTTCTTTCAAGCTGCAAAGACACGAGTACAAAAGATGGTAAATGAAAAGCTATCAAGGTAAAGCTAACATATTTTGTAGAACAGCACTCACTTGATCCCAGGCATAGGAGGACATCGATAAATACACAGATAGAACTATGCAACCAGGCCTAATATAGCTTTCTATTTCGGATGGACTGTTAGCAAGCCAATTGTATATCTGAAAAGAGAAGTAAAGTACACCATTAGTTATCCATTAAGAATGAGGAGAACAATCTAAAGTCAAGCATCAATCTCTCTCACCTGCGCTCGCAATGACTCGGGCAAATGACTGGGATCCTTGTCAAATAGCTTAAAAACAATTCGGCCATTACGATCCTACACGTCAGAATATATCCAATGAAATGTTTCCAAGATAAACACAACTATGATACTGTAAAATAAATAAAGATACGACAAGATGCTAAAAAGAAAAATAAGGGAGTGGTTGTCAAGTACCTGAACACCAGAATTCAAACTTGATGGTGAATGATCAGACCCAGTAGAAGATGTATACCCAGCTTGGTAAGGAGAACTCTGAATTGAGCCATTTTCAGCAGCTCTAGTTGAGACTCCAAAAAGCTTAAGAGATGTACTGCACTCGTTGCTTGTACTGGCTTTCGCATACATAGTATCCACTTCGCTAGTAGACACACTGCCATGCTTCATAGGTTCCCTTGAAGTATGCATTGGAAACAGGTCATGCACAACAGGTGGTGAAGATGAAGGAGACCTCTCTAGTGAAGGATTGCTACTATCAGATGAGAAATAGTTTCTACCAGATGGCAATTTTCTTAAGCTATCATCTTCAGGTGAGGAATTAAAGAGTTTTAACAGCAAATTTGGACATGTCTCTTGAACATGGCAATCTGAATCTGCCACAGGAGAATGGTAACTTGCACTACTTCTCTCTCCTCCAACAGAGGGAAACTCCAAAGCAGGTCCTTTTTGCAAATTGAGACATGTAGCTTGATCAACAAAGGCTGACTTACTCTTCTCCGAGTCGCTCCTATCGCTGCTTGGTTGAGATTGAAATTCAACTACACCAGAAGAGGGTGCTGCAGGATTTTCTGAAAGAACAGACAGCAAGTCCACAGTTGGTGGCAAAGAAACATTCCCACTCAATCTGCTTTGATTTCCAGAGGATACGAGGTTAGGAATACTTCCATTCGAACATCCAGGCAATTTGGCAGCTATGTTTTCAGGCCGGGGCTTTAAAGAGTTTATTTTATCAAGTAACTGTATGAGCTGATCTTTATCGGGTATGGATGAGAATTTGCTACTCCCATCGTCAGTATTACCTAGAATCATAATCAAGTATATTAAGCAAAATGTCAGATGTGTCTATGAGATGAGAAGAGAAAGGCATGGATGCTTATGTGCAGGTGATGGTCCAAGACCCAAAAATAAAAGGGTAATTGCATTAGGGTGCCACAGCCAGAGCACCAATGTACCAAATCAATTTGCTTAAATGGTTTCATACCTTGAGCATTAGCTAGTACTGCCAACAAATTGACTATATCCACTTCTGAGTTTCCACTTTTGTCACGGCTTTCAGGAACTAACAACCGTGAAGTAGCATCATCTGGTTGAGTCTTTCTTCTCCTCCTGTTATGCCCGGCAAGTCTACGCCTACAGCTTCTCTTTCCCTCGTCAAATTCTGAAAGGGGGTGGAACCTGACAAAGAAAAAAGAATTGCCAATCAAATGCTGGCTCAACTTGCTCAGCTTAATAATAATCCTTCTCCTAAATCGGGGCAACTTAAGAGTATGAGAATCAAACCCAACAATCACACAGGATGAAATTAGGAGTTAACTACGCAGCCTATAGTCAAAAAACCTGCTGCACTGCTGGCAGAATCTTTGCATCTGTTTCCCGACCAAGGCTTTGCTGGCTTTGCTATGAACCTCGCACACCTTATGCCGGCGGTGATAGTCCTTAGCCGCAGATAGATCTTCCTTGCAATTATCCACTTGACACACAGGATAGCTAGCACCACCAGGCGATCCAGATCTGACTCTTTTATTGGGCCTTGACACTGGTTGTGGCTCTTCTACTAAAGCCAAGACACCATTCCTTCCATCTCCTTCACCTCCAAGCTTCAATCTAAGATTTTCATTATCGTGTTTATCTTCAACGGGTACGGGCTTCTTAGGATCTGCCATATCATTTTGTACAGCTTTCTGAATTGACACCTTCAACTGAACCGGAGTAGCATTTCCGCCCCGGACTACGTCAGGTTGCAAAGGTCTGGCAATAAACCTGGCACTATCCCAACCCCAAGACATAGGATTCCAGTTATCCAAAGGATTCTGATGCGGAAAACTTGCAGGCTGATTACGTTTCTTGGCCATCGGGCGCTCATCGCAAAATCTTCCAGCGAGTGACTGGTGGATGAATATTGGTGAAGCTACTTGTGCACCTACCTCTTCCATCTCTCCAAAACAAAAACTTCAATAACCCCAGAGGAAAAAAGGAAAAACAGAAATCTGCATCGTGGGAAAATGAGAAAAAATTAGAATCTAACCTAGTTTTAGAGCTAAAATTCAGAAGCAAATAAAACTTGTCAACGCAAAAGTATCAGATTTGTAGAGAGATCCATAACACAAAAAGATTTTTCCAAAGGTAATTTACCGGCACATAATCAAGAACATGAGTCCTTCAATTATTTTTTCCAATTTGCCGGAATCAAACATAAACTTCAGTTATGAGAATAATCAGTACAGTAATCATCAAGTGAACAGAACAAAGATTGATTCAGACATCGCATAACAAATTAATCTAAAAACAACAAACTTTGTACCTTATGGATTACACAATTTCATCTTCCAAAACCCAACTTCGATGCCTCTCTTCTGCACAAATATTCATACGATTCTACCACTTCAACAGAATTAAACCGTTCCGACAGCTTAGTACTAATTCCGACGAGTTTTCAAAAATAACCCATGAAAGGATTAAACTGAATCTGAAAACGCGTATGGATTACACTAACAAGAGATCTGTGCAAAACCACAAAGAAAAAGTGAAATTTGGCAATGAAATTGGAGACCCAAAAAGCTCTCTTCTATTCCTTCTCTATCCCTCTCAGTTTCTCACTCTATTCCTACAACTATCTTTTACTTTTTTTCATTGTTGGCCTTTCTTTCAACAAAAACTTTTTCTTTGTTTCACATTATTTTTTATTTTTTCTCAAAACAGCTTGTTTGGCACAAACAGTAAATTCAATGAACATTAGAGGGCACCACGTACCAGCCGCCAGTGGACCAACTACCTATCCAGGATCCTTCCATTTTCACATGCTCCTTTCCATTTTTATTTTTTATTTTTTTCTCAAAAGATAATAATTACAATTTTGGTAAATTTCGATTTTTTTTAACTATGTCCCCGTTCGTTGGGAATTAAAATCAAAATTTTAAGTAAATTTTGATAAAAATTGATGAAATGTGTTGTTGAAAACTAATAGATCTCATTAAATATGTGGTTAAAATTAATTGTTGAATTTGACTTAAATAAAAATTTGGATTTTAATTTATACTAAACATGGACTATAATTTGCTAATGCGATGGAGCAACGTTTTTTTTTTTTTTTTCAAAAATAAAGGAGTTAATTTAAAAGGTTTCTTATTGAGCATTAACTAAGTCGTCTCAATTCAAATGTGATATTCTAACTTATCCGCTAATTTGCCATTTGTTTCTATTTATGAAATTTGATGTATTGCGACAACATAACAACTTGCATAAATTGAAAGAGCTTCATATAAAGTAAAATAAGTAACGTTATTTCCAGTTGTTAACTGATGTAGTCGTCCTACGAACTACTGTGGTCGTCCTACGTAGGACGATTACGATAATGAACAACTGTAATTAGCATTATTCAAATAAAATGACCGTGCACTCTTTGAAGGAGTGGATAATTCAATAGCCGACTTTCATATTTTGCAATCAACTTTTATTTATCTTATAATTGGATATGTTCAAGCCAAGAAGACCCATAATAATTGTCCATGTGTTTAGCTTTTTCTTTTTTTCTTTCTTCTTTTGTCGAAATTCCATAATTTTATGTTTCTCCCAAAAAGCAAATCCAAGCATGATAGATAAGTTATCCACCCCATGACGAAATATGAATCAGTTCAAGCAATTATCAAGAAAAGTTAGATTTTGCTTTAAATTAAACTGTATTATTTTTTAAGGAAAAAAATAGATTACTTTTAGAAATTGATGTCGGTTATCTTATTTAAAATTAGATAGTAATTTCGGGATATAGTTACGTGTGAAATGAATAAATTTGTAATTTTCTTTTTCTTTTCGATATAATTAAGTGTCATAGTATTTAAAAGTCAAGAGACAACTCTGTTTTTCATCCACACATAGAAAGGATAGAACAAGTACAATACAACTTGTTTTCGATACCCTCTTGAAGCCAAGAGAACGTGGCCAAGGGCCACCTAAAATGGTTTCTTCTACTCAAGTTGCTTCCATGTTTTAAATAAAAAGGTCACAAGAAAGAGACGGCGAGTTGGTACATTGCCAAAAGTCCAAGTCATTTAGAGTTCGTTTGGCACGACTTTAAAAAGTCAAAAGACGGTTTTGAGATCCAAAAGCAATTTTTTGGACCCCTTTAACTAATTTTATGAAAGTGTCTCTTCTTCTAGTTAGAGGAGCATTTAGAAGGAACTGTTCCAATGTAATTTTTTTCTAAAAGTACTTCTGAAATAGAATTTAAAAAAAAAAAAATTAATTGTTAAACAAAAATTAAAATAATTTCCTACAAAAGCTCTTCTACAAAAAGCAAAAATAGAAACACGCCAAAAGAGCCGTAGCTCAGCTCCTAGCTCAAGAGTGAATCAATTATGTGAAGGATGATTTCTTGATCGAGTCGGATAGGAGACAAATTAGTGAAGACTAAATGCACGCCAATAGAAAGTTAGTATCATGTGAGTAAAAAGTGGTCGAACAAACTTGTATGGAAAAGAAGGAAACATGCACGATAAGACTGTCTCAACTCATATTGTATTCGATTGTAATTGTAGCGTTTTAGTTATTTATGTTTAATGGCCTTTAAAACCCAAAAACAAAGTTAATAGTAATTTTATTTGAAAATGCGTGGTTAAAAAGTGATAAAAAATTTGGGATTTACATATAAATTATTTTATTGCGTGGTTCAAAATAAGTAGGTAAAAAAAAAAGCTTTTGAATAATGATTGTGACTAAATCTCATCCTTGATCCAGCACGCATGAGGTATCAGATGATGACAAGTGTATAACGAGCATTTAATATTAAAAATTTGTTCTGTCAAATGTTTTAACATTTTAGCATAAATAATTGTAATATTTGTCCAAGTTAAGAAAACGTCGTGAGCCGTGGCCCGTGATGGGTTGTCAAGACCCTAACATTTGTACGCAATTAAATAGTACAAATTTAAATAGGAAAAAAAAATATAAGGCCGACAAACAATATATGCATTTACATCTATGTAAGATTTAGCCATGTATTGGCTCTATTATTTCTAAAACGTGTTTTTTAAAAAATTTATTTTCAATCATACATTTTTTTATAAAATAATATTACACGTAAATTTAAAAAAAGTTAATCATACATTCTCCAAAAGATCACTATTCTAAAATATATTTTATCCCAAAATCACATTAAAATGGAGCTCAAGCACGGGCTTAATGCAACCATGCTACTTGTACAATTTTTTTTTTTTTTTTTACAATTTTGATTGACAACATCACATTCATTCATTTTTAAAAATTATTTTTTAAATCATTGGTCCAGATTTTGATAATAATGTTGTCAACCGTGATTGTCAACAACTGTACGAATAGATTAATTCTATTTAATTTAAGATATTGCTACACATAAATCAAGATTTACATGATAGATTACATAATGTCACATAATACTTTACTATCTGCAAGTTTAAAATATAATCAAAATTTTCATTCAATATTTTCCCTTTACATCATATTATGTAATTCATTATACATATTTTTTAGGATTAGTTTAAACGTACCGAATGGGGGTATCGAATGGTGTCCCCCCTCTCACAATGCGCGTGGACCCCAAGTGTATTTAAAAATTCTGGCTTGTGGTCCTCACCTCCTAATGTGAGTGAGATGTAAAAGATTTGGTATAAAAATTCGATACATGTAGCATAACTCTATTTTTAATGTACTAAGTAGCAAAATTCTTTAATTTATATTATATGTGCGTGAAAGTTCGCTATGGACTGTAATGTTGAGAAAAAGGTTGTCATTTATATGTATAATTGGTAGGGGCCAAACATAAAAGTCAGCCTAATTACTTAGTCCCTTTCGTAGGAATTTAAACTAGTTTAAATCAAAGTTATCAAATTTCAACGGCATATATCATGGATTCCACAATATTTCAATCAGAACTTCTATCAAAATTTATTAAAAGTCTAATTTTAATTCTCACCAAACAAGGACGTAATGAAAAATTTCAGAGAGTGACAACTAATAAATAAATATTACATAACAATATAGTTTTTTAATAATTGCACTTCAAATTACGATAACAAATAATCTAACAATTTCTCGTACTCTCATTTTTGAAATCAAGCGAGAAATTATTCAATTAGACGAGGTTAAAAGTATATTCTTCGAGAACTTATAAATTGAATAAATGTTAGCTTCTTAAGTCCCTATTTTCTATATACTCATTTTTTTTATCAAATAAAGTTAGTTGTACAATTATGGTTGATATTATGTGTTGTCAAAATTCTGACCATTGATATAAAAACACAGTATTTGACCATTTTTAATTATCAATCAATATTGTTAATAAATGTTGTACATTAGTATGATTGATTTTAATCATACATTCACACAATAAAATATTCTGTACATAAATTCAAAATTTTTTTTTTTTTTAATCACACATTCTTAAAAAGAATCATTATTCAAAATATTATTTTGAAAAAATAATGACCATTAAATCTTAATGGTCAATTCAGAATACTGAATACAAGGTCCAAGAATTTTCAGTTGTTATTTTCGCCCTCGTGTATAGGCAGAGGTGGTAGTACTTCATGTCGGTGGAATTGAAAGGTTTTTAAATCGTTAATGCCAAAAAAAAAATCCTAAGAATACTAAGAACTTCTCACAAATGATTAATCAATGGTATATTCTTCGACAACATCTAAATTAATGAATGTTAGCTTCTTAATGGTCAATTTAGAATACAAAATTCAAGTATTTTTCAATTGTCAATTTCATCTTAACGTATACCAAGTGTAGTACTTCAGGTCGACAGAGATGAAAGGCTTTCAAATTATCGATTATTTTCACTTGTTAGTCTAGATTTTCGAAGTTGGGTAATGTTTATTTTTCGAGCAATACTACGCTTATCGAAAATGGTTGACAAACACTTTGACCGAACACTCACAATAGGGGGAGGGAGCACATT